TTCTGAGCTGAGTTAGGACGTCACCTAGACTCTCTCTGAGGCTCAGCTTCCTCACTGGAAAATGGGGATAATAAGTTCTACCTTGACATGTGGTGACCACAAACAAACAATTATGGTGGAGAAATCACTTTCCAGGCTGAATGGTGCTGGGAAAGAAAAAAATTCAGTTTATCACTGTCCATGAAGTGACAATGTCATTCCACTGGCCTGGGAAGGGCATCACATTTGACCCCATGGCAGCAGAGGAAAAACAAGGCCCTTGGAGACAATGGAAAGTGTAGGATTCTCATCTATTTCAACGTTAACTTTGGGTCTTAATTAGCTGCTCTGTTTGGAATTCACCAGACAAAAGAATTTCAGCAAGCTTTTTCTCCCTGTTTTTTGTTTGAAATACGAGGGAACAGATAGGTTAGAAGAAAACCCTGCTGCTTTTGCACATTGGTATGGATTCCCAGGAATTAAATGGTAATACAAAGAGGCAGCAGCAGCCTCCCTTTAGCCCTTCATAAGGCATGCTGCCTGGGATTATCAGAGAGCCCAGAACTCAGGTGGCCATAAGGGGTGCATTGGGAAGACAACGAAGCACAGAGGCAGGTTAAGCTTCTTTCCCACAAGGCAGGTCAGGGACAGTGCTGGACCAAGAAGATCCACTATTCTAGACCAGTCCCTGTGAGTGTCACGGTCCCTTCTGCACACATGTGGACCCTAACAGAGCTGAAGATGCTAGTGCCTTAACTGTTAATGCTGATCCACTTTAAAAGCAGTGCATGAGTGTGAGTGTATATGTGTGTTAAAAAAATACATGCATGCAAAATCACACATGCATATTCAACACATTAGACAAAATACCTATAGCAGATGAGGGAAGTAGGAAAATGAGAATGGGAGATGGGAATAACAGTTAGAAAATAAGTACACACTCGACAAGGGAGGGCCTTGCAGAGGTCAATGACGGCAATGTGTCATAAGATGATGTGATAAATTCAACCCCTTCATGTGACATCCAAAGAAGTCTAAAAGAACAATGAGGATACCTTCCTAGCAGTCAGAGCAGAAGACCTGAAGAAGAAATCAGACCTTGCTGCTGAGTCTCAGGCAAAGTCATATTCATTCTATTATTCATTCCTCCAACAGAGAGCTTCATTAGCCAAGCATTGTGCAGGTGGAGCTGCTGTAGGATTGAGCTCTATTCTTGGGCAGACAGGGCCACAGAGGATGACAACACAGGTGCTAGGAAGAGCAGGAGGAAGCTGTTCCTAGGAAGACAATAGCAGAGTGCAGGAGAGAGTTAGAGAAGGTTTCCTGGGAGAGTGAAGAGTGATTCCTTCCTAAGGCAGCCCAGAAGTGCAAGAATATAGTTTGGTGTGGTGAAGGGTTGAAAGGATTTTAGTGGAGCAGGAGGATAGGATGATGACTCAACTGGAATTGGCAATGGGTGAGGCCTGACGGCCTAAACTCAGTGAAGTCAGGACAGCCAGGCTTGCGCTTGGAATGCTGGTGCTCAGCATCTGGCAGGGGTATACACAGCAAGGGGACCCAAATCAGTCACTGCTGTCATACAAGTCGAAGCCCAGTTACAGAAAACCAGAAAATGATGCCCTTAATTTAGCTGGGTTTGGGAAGAGAAAAAGAGGACAAGCAATTGAGAAGATTTCAGAAAAGAGGTATTATCCGAGCTGAACTTAAAAGAGGTTTAGAATTTTGCTGGCATAGAAAGAATGGAACTGAGGACATTGCAAGCAAGAGAAAGAAAAACATGAGCAAAAGATTTGCATGTTAGTGTCTAAGTTGATGAATAAAAATATCAAAAATCCCAAATCATTCATGACTAATAAAGAGCCTTGGTAAAAATCCCCAGATTTAGTCAAATAGTTATTTTTTAAATAGCTGATTCTGAGCATTCTCTACCTCTGTGGCTCCAGCTAGCACCAACCCCTCCACAGGATTAGGAATGTTTACCCACTTTATGATGGCTAAGCAGGGTTTAAAATGATGACTCCCCTTTCTGTTAGAGGAAAGAAATGTAGAAACAAAAACATTGTTTTAAGAAGGGGGGTGGGAAACCAACTCCCTCTGGGTCTGGCACAAAATTAAATTTTATGAGTTACTCAGCAGCAAGCAAGGCACAGAAGGAAGCCAGTATGAAACTGCCTTTCAAAGTAACTGCAGTTGACAACTAAACTCCCTCAGCTAGGGGGAGAAAAGGAGTTAATAGAGGCAGAAGTCAAGCTTTCATCCTTCACCTGAGTCTGTTCCTTTCATATGCTAAATGCAGCTCAGGCAGTCTGGGTGAGAGAACTCAACACTATCATTAAAAAAATATGGGCACCCAGGCTGAGGAGGACATTTGCCCCTGAGTCATATGCCACCCAGGGTTACAATGGATAAGGTAATAACAGGAAAACATAGCTTCCTCATGCCAGACCTGCTGTGTGGGCTGTAATTACCCAAACAAGGACAATCTACTAAGACAGCATCCTTTCACAACCCCCAAGAGCACAATGCCCCAATTGATGTGGTTCTACCCATAGGCGAAGGGTTCTGGCAGGTAGACAGTCTATGCTTGGCCTGGGAAGATGTGTTGTTCCCTGGCCCCAACAACAACAACAAAACAGTGAAAAATGGACAGTTAGGCTGTTATCAGCAGGGAGGATCCAAACAATCAGGAGAAAAATCCAGGACATTTAGTCTGGGAGCCTTTTTTATTTTTCTTCCAATTTTCTAGTTTTGAGAAGTTGGTGCCTGTGGAAACCAAAAACACATCCAATGGTCTGGCTTTTCAAAGTCAGATATCTGCATAGGCTGTGTCCCCACACCTGCCCCCAAAATGAATTTATGAGTAGAAATGATGTATTTAAAGACTTTGCCACTTTACATTTTATTAAATGCCATCTTGAAAGATTCTAGACTTTATGAGCTGGAACGTGCTCTCCAGTTAAGAAGGTAAAGGACTGGGGATGAACCCAAATGTTCTTCCATTTCCAGCAATGCTACAATGAAAAAGAATGAGACTGCATTACAGTGATGGTTCTGAAAGTGTAGTCCCTGGACGAGCAGTGTCCACATCACCTAAGAATGCATTTGAAAATTAAAATCCAACAGAGGCCTGTTTTACCAAATCCTCCGGGTGGTTCCAATGCCTGCTCAAGTTTAAGACGTGTGCTAGAGGTGTGGTTCTCCACACTGGTTATCTGTTAGCATCACCTGGTGTACTTTTCATTGTGCTGTTTTAGCCAACTCCAGGCCAATTAAATCAAAACAAGCAGGACCAGGCCTAGACACAGCTGTTTTTCAACAGTTCTGCAAGTGATGCAAATTTGCAACCAGTGTGAATAGCTGTTATCTACTAGACCAAGAGCGATTTAGATTGGATACTTTTGGACCTCTGGTTTTCAGCTTAATGGCTACTAAATGAATCTCCTTTGTCAAAGAAAACATAAAATTCCATCTTCATGAGCTGGAACGGCAGAATGTGAAGCCGGAGGAAAGCATCAGAATCTTGTATCAAAATCAATGGTAATAATAGTAACTAATAGCTCATCTAACAGAAACGATTGCTCACCCTGGGGAAGGGGGGCTAACCCCCACAGTCAGAAGTCAGTGTGAAAATGGCACACTCAGAGGCAGTAAAAGTGACACCACACCTCCCACACACCTCAAGTCCAGATGCCACATCCCCCAAGGGGAGCTCAAAGCCTCCCACTTACATCTCAGCTTTGAAGCCCCATGTACTGAGGGTGTGTGAGACCTCAGCTCTTCTCACCCTGTCTGATGCTACTGAATGTGCAAAATGATGATGCCTGTTAAGACAGAACTTAAGGGGTTCATTCCCTTGGGTTGGGCAGAGTCGCAGCATTGCAGCTTTACAACTGAACTGTGAACTGGGGACAAACCTTTTATCCAAAACAGGAAGCTGGCAGTTAACCCACTATGTGTGTTCCTCAAACTGGAGTCCACTGGCATAGACCCAAAGGTCCAGGATATTTTCCCTATTAAAAGGGATTTGAGGGCCTCCCCGGTGGCATAGCAATTGAGCGCTGGGTTGTGAAACTGCCCGCAGCCTCTGCAGTGGCTGTTGGATCCCCGGCCGCAGGGCAAGGGTCCCACATGGCGCAGACCTCTTCTGCCTCCCGCTGCTCCCCTCAGCAGTGTATTCCGTCACTCTGCCTGTTCTAGTTCTACTCCCGGCTCTGGCTCTGGTGAATCCTTTCACCCTCCCGCACTTCTGACTTCACCCAGTGCTTGTATAAATAAATAATCTTTTAAAAAAATGTTATTTAAAAAAAATAAAAAATAAAAGGGATTTGAGCATAACTAAAATGCAAGAAACGTTGTAAATTCTTCTCAATAGGAAGCAGCAACATTCTTAGGATGTTTCTGGAGACAACTTTCATGTCTCTACACTGTAAAAAAATTTTAAAGATCAAGTAGCAAAGACTGGAACCATTTCAACAGCTGGCAAGTGGATATCCTTATGAAAACAGAATCACCCTGACATATAGAGTAAATCTTGAGTTTCCAAGATTTGGGGTATTGTATTTTCTCTCCCCTTGTAACAAGGGTGAGGATAGGAAGGAAATGAGAAGAAAAAGAGCATACTTTTGTATTCCCAATACCTATGGTTATACAGAGTTTAGAATCTGATAAACCTGGATTTTAATTTTGACCCTGTCAATTATTTGTTGACTGGTCTTGAATATTAAGCATACAAATTTCAGGTTTTCCATCTGTAAAATGGGAATAATAATACTTAGCACTTATCAGGATAAGCAGAAAGAAGCCATGGATTACCTTTAGCACAATGCCTAGTAAACAGCAAATAAAGGAGCAGTTGTGATCATTCATTATTCATCCTTGGACACTCAGCTGACTTTGTGTATATTTCCTTGACAGAAATGCTTACCTACAGACACACACTTACAGGTTTTGTATTTGTAGCTCCAGAACTTACAATATGTATCTAGAGCTTAGTCATTATTATTGTAATTGCTCATTTACAGGTCTGTAAAGATTGTCTTAAGGAAAGAGACCATGTCTTTGTAACCCCAATGCCTCAAGCACACTTGATCCATCATATGTATTTTGAATGAGTAAATGAATGAAGGAAGCAATCATTCACTTACCTAGTAACAAGAAGTTAAATTGGCATGGTAAAAAATGAAGAGATAGAAGAGGAAACACACAATCATGGTTGACTCTGGATATAAACTGCAAAAGAATATTGCTTTGCAGAATTTTTGAATTTACTTAATCACAGATAATCCTTCTCTGAGAACTCTCTAAAGGAGGGGAGAGGGTCAGGGATGGTATGCTCATATAATACTTAAAAAAGATTTATTGGTTGGTTGTGTGTACACGGTCCTCTGGAACCAGCTCATCTAAAGACAGATACCTTCCTGACATTACTCAAGGACAAAAGAAGCAAAGTCAAATCAAGAACCCTTATCTTCCTCCTCCATGTCCAAAGAATTCTAGGCCTGAATATAAAATATCGCCTCTTAATCTTTACAGTGGTCACCACTCCATCTTGCTTACCATCTTCTGTAGACTCTGCCTCTCAAAGCCTCCACTTATTCTCAATGAGACTTCCCTTTTGATTCCATCCCTGCCTAATCTCTGAAAGATGACTGTCAAACATGTATTGGTAGCACAGCTATAGCCATCTCCCTACCACCACACCACTCCTCATCCATTCCCAGAGACTAGATCTGGAACATATGCTCATCCAGGAAGTGTCCTAACCATTTCCATGGTCATAGGAGATAAATGGAGAAACAAAACTCAATGAATCAGTTGAGAAACAGGTAAGATTGTTGTTTTGGTCACACGCATAGGAACCTCCCTCTCCTAACCCTGCCAACCAGGGTTTTAGTCAATGGAAAAGTCATCTAAAAAATCTGCAATATGTCCATAACTACACCCTGAGAAAGCCTGCCTGACAAGAAACATGGTGACAAAATGCTACATGCTTAACTACAGTCCCCAAGTCATCTTTCACAACTGTGGGAGTTAGTCACAGAAAAGTAGACCTGCTGAGCAAGCCATTGACTTTTATCTTTAGACTGCAACTGCTATTCATCAGCATCAATATTTTAGAGTTTAATCAACTCAGCCCTAGTCTGAGTCCAGAACATCTACATCATCATGAGGACTTACCGCATCCTGACAGCTGAGGACCTCCAAAATGCTGTTGAGTAATTCAACACAGTACTTCTTCTCCTGGACCTGGTGTTGCATCTCGTCCTTCTGTTCCAGTAGCTCCTTCAATTCTTTGGTGATGACAGGAAGCAGAATGTCTCGGCATTCTGGAATGAAAGCATTTCAGAGGCATTTGAGTTTCCTCAGTTTTGGGTTTCTCTTCTTTTTTAACGATAATTTTCACTAAATAAATAACTCACAAATATACTCTGTTTGTAAAAAAATTAAATATTTAAGATTAGGTTAAGATTTTCTTAGGGCATCATTCACAATTCTGGCACTTCCCCAAGCCCCACTCTGTAGAAGCAATCAGTTATTTTTTATTCTCCACATATGTGTGTTTACCTGCATATAAACACATACGTGTATGTTCATACATGTATATATGCAGATGTACCAGTGTACAATATGTAGTATCATTTTGATTTTCATTTCAGTAAGTCATATCATACTGTGATGATAAACCTTCAAGATCCTTTCATAGACACGTTTCACATATGTATTAATATAAAACATACAATTTTGTTTTCATTTCCTTTTTATAAAAGGTGACCATTTTATTAAAGAGAACAACATATGTATTGTTCTGCATCTTGATTTTTTTCACTTACCAACATTTCTTGGAGCACTTTGTATGTCCTTACCTACAGAGATCAATTTAATAATTTGTAACAGCTTTCAGCATTCTTTTATGGGTATCTTGTATTTATTTGCCATACTCTTTGATGGACATTTTTCTTTAAGATTTATTTATTTATTTATATAAAAACCGTGGTACAGGCAAGATTCAGGGGAGGGTGAGAGGATTCACCAGAGACAGAGCAGGGAGCAGAACAGAGAGCAGAACAGACTGACGAAATACACTGCTGAGGGGAGAAGTGGGAGATACAGGAGAGGTCTGTCACGCCATGTGGGACCCTTGCCGGCCAGCCGGGATTGAACCTGTGCTGCAGAGGCTGCGGACAGCTTCACAGCAAGCGCTCAACTGCCTGTGCCACCAGGGGAGGCCCTGATGGACATTTTTCAATGGCACAAACAGTTTAAAAATGAACTTCTCTCTTACATCTTTGTGCACAGTAGTTTCCATTTTATTTTTTTTCCCTAACCATTATTCTTTATATCCTCTTGTCCTTTCCCTTTCCCCTCCCTCTTAACTTGAGAGTCCTCATGGGTGTTTGTTGACATCCACTAACTTTTGGAAATAAGTTACTTATTGAATGGATGCTATGGAAATGTCCAGTATATATTTTTTATTTCTCTAACTTGATTTTCTACACACAGTCTCTCAAGCTCTCTCTATTTTATTGCAAAATGTTGCATTTGATCCCTTCATAGGACCAAACAGTATTCCACAATGCAGATATACCACATCCTCTTTACCCAATCGTCCATTGATGGACATGCAGGCTGCTTCCATGTCTGAACTATTGTAAACAATGCTGTTATGAACATACTGGAACATGTATTTTTTTTTTTGTATTGATGGTTTCATATTCTTTGGTTAGATGTCTAAGAGTGGGATTGTTGGTATTACTTTCATTTTAAATGAAACTTTCACTAAGAAAGGCATGTCTCCTGATATTTCTGTCTCTGAAAATTTCCAGAAAGTTCTAAAATCCTACACAGTTTTGTTTCTATATTGGTCTTGAAAATGGGAAAACTTGAGCAATGCCCCCAAAATTCCAAAAACTTTTGAAGTCATCCCCACTAAGTTATTTCTTGAGCTGAGATGTAACTCCTATATAACAAGATTTAACTTTAATTTAATACAAGAAATAGGTAATGAATATCTTTTATGTAGAAGTCTTTACATTTCTGGAAGCACAGAGATAAGATGTGGTTCTCACCTATTAGATACTTGAAATCTGACAGCGATTAGCAGTGAAAACCAAGAGCAATGGCAGAAGATAGAATGAGATAAAAGTGGGAAAAATTAGAGAACATCTTTTGTTCTGTCTGCCCAACATATGTGCTCCCTTTTACTGGCATGACATCCAATTTTATTCTGAAGAGCCACCTGCTATGAAATAAAACTCTGGGGACACTTTCCTAAGGATCCTTTACCTTTTCTAGTCAAGGGCTAGACACATAAATTTAATAACAATAATTGCTGACATTGTGCCAGGTACTGTTTTAAATATCTAACATAAATATCTTTTTTTAAAGATTTATTTATTTATGCATACAAGAATGGGGGTACAGGTCAGAGGTGCAGGGGGAGAGAGGATTCACCAGAGACAGAGTGGGGAACAGAACCGGCAGATTGACTGAAATACACTGTTGAGGGGAGCAGCGGGTAAGTCAGGAGAGGTCTGCTGTGCCATGTGGGTACTCCCTGGCCGGGGATCGAACTCATGCTGCAGAGTCTGTGGTTAGCTTCATAGGTTGCGTCTTAACCCCTTGCGCCACCAGGGAGGTCCCTTGCGTAAATATCTTTAATTAAGCCTCCTAGTGACACCAGGAGGTAGATTCTATTATTCCCCATTTTGTTGATCAGGAAACAGAGGGATTTGCCCAAGTATACAAAACCAGTCATTGATGGATCTGATCTAAGACTACAGTGCCTGTGCTCTTAATCACTATATGAAGAGAATAGTCTCTGAAGGTCAACTGTCCTTACAACAGTACCCCAAGAAGGCTGCCCATGGTGTTTCCTACTTCCTCTCCTAGAGCTGCTCTGGATTTCTCTTCTCTTATCACTGAGACTTTCCTCTGATTCTAGCTATTCCTCTGATGAATGACATTCTATGTAATACCCTCTAACTTTCAAATATATTTATTTTTATTAAAACTTACCAGAATAGATTTCTATTGCTTGCAACCAGAGAATCCAAATGGTAGTTATGAAATGCCATGAAAGTTTCTGAAGGGAGAAATATTCCCTGATTGGAAGGTTCACAAAAACCTGTACAGGTTCTTTTAAAGCTGTGTCTCTACTCTCAGAGCACTAACCTCAGTTTGCAATTAACTTCTAAATAGTTTAATTAATTAATGTCCATTTATTCCACCAAAGTATAATCTCCAAGACAACTGGACCAAATATTTGGTACCTTCCAGTACCAGAATCATAGCAGTAATTCTATAAATCTTGGTTGAATAAATGAAAGAAGTGTCATTTGAGATGGTCATTCATAAGTACATAATATTGCCACAGGAAGTATAGAGCTTAAAGAATAGAGAGTGACTTAAAGTACACAAACTAGGATAACTGGAATAGTCTTCTGGAAGTATAATGCCAGGAGATGACATGTAAAAGGAAAGTTCTAAAATGCAATAGAAGGTGTTAGGTTATAGTTGTATGGAGAGATGCTATTGTATGTAAAATTTTTGATTCCACATGCTTAAAATTATAGATGAAGTACTAGACCACAGGTTTAATGGGACTGGATTTGGACTCAAGAAATCCTTGCCTTAATGACTTTTGAGAGTACAAGATACTAAGTTATCCATTACCTCTGTTTAGAGAGATAAAGGGAAAAACAGGATAATATTTACATATGATTACTGGATAATTTGAGTTAAATCTATACTTAGTCCATATCTAGTTACCATAAAATTGAGTCCTGTGCAGATCTACCTATTAAAAATGGTAGAGAAATCTTCTGCAATGCTTATTCAGAAGTTTATTTTAAAAGTTATCTTCTAAACTGCTATTTTGTAACTTTGAAATTTTTGTTGATTAGAGGAAATTATGTATGTTAGAATGCTTGTTAGAGAAAAGCTAGAAGAGTTCATTCAATATGGTAAATTCTTTGTCATTGGAGGTGAGTGACAGAAATTCTGACTTTACTGTTGCTACATATTTATACCCAACAAGATAAAAATTGTGCATTCTCTTGTTAAATAATGATTGTAAATTCTTACTCTTCAAAAATTTAATTTTGAAATATAAATAACAGCTCTAATAAGGGAATTTAAAAAACAACAAAAAGTCTTGTTCTTCTAGTTCTCTGAGTAAGAGGAAATCAACAAAAGTTGTGTTTTAAGGAGATTGATGTTATTACACTATACAGGGTAGTTAGAGAAAGGAAAGCCCCAAGGGCAGAGACCAATGATAATTCTCCTGCAGTAGTCCAAGTGATGATAAAGAAAATAAAATTCTGGGGTTCACCTTCCTACATTCCTAACTTCTAACACCATAGTCTTGTCTTCTGTTGATAAGATCTTGAAGAAAGATAATGTGAAATAGATGAAGTTTGGCCAGTGGTCTTGAACTCGAAACATAAGAAGAAAATGTTTTGAAGCCTAAAGTGCCCTTGCTAATTCAAGGTTAAAAACATTTAAAACTCTCTCCATTTATTAAGTGTGTTTACTAAGACCTATAGGAAGGATATATGCAAAGACAGAGGACTCATCCATTCAGGCAGTTCACTAACTCATTCATTAATTTAGTCAATCTACTACATTTATTAAACACTCCTATTTTGAGATGAAGTTGCCCAGCTATCCCAGCAAGAGAGTCAACTGACAACTGACAGCAATCTACTGTCTTTACTTCTTTGAGTGGCCATAAAAAAGAGCTGTGTTGTAATTTAATCAGGTTTTTCCTTGACAGTGCATTTTGTTGGTTAGATCCCCAAAACATAGATATGAACCAAGGGAAAATGATAATTGATAGATTTTAGGTATTAATGATAATCTCCTTGTGAAGTCACCAGACTTGTAGCTCTACTTAGAATAGAACTTAATTAGATTCAGTAGATTCTCATGAATGTCTGGTAGTGAGCTCTCCATCTCTAGAAGTATTTAAGCTGTAGGTGGCTGTCTACTGACAGGTATGGGTGAAGAATTATTCAAAGTATCAGATAAATGATGGGTATCAGAACTGAATGATGGGTAAGACCTCATCCAAAATTCTATGATTCTATAAAATCTAGGTTCAGAAGAAAAGGCAAGGAGGAGGATATTTGCTAGGTGGAAAGAGTAGACATGAGCATTGTTTATAAACCATTGAGGTTGTGGTTGCTGTGGATCCAGAGCAGCAATGGTTTACCAATCCAAAAGTTGTCTACTTTACAGATAATCAAAACCAACATCCCCACAAGATGAAGGCTCTTGGTGCTGAGAGTCAGCAAGAATTCAGCTGAGGAAGCCATTAATCACATGGCCTGTTTTTCAGAAAGTATTTTACCTTCTCCTTTACCATGATTTCTCAGAAATGTCTGGCTCCTCTGCTTGGAGATGAAA